ACAGACGGGTGCGACAGTGGACAGACGGGTGCGAGTAAGAAGCTGCTGCTGATTTTATTTTATTTTTTCCAAAATATATTTTTATTCATTTTTATCATTTCCCCTCCCCATTTCCACAAAAAGACAAACTGATTTTATATGTATTCACATTATAATGTATTGCTGGGACTTGTAGTCCTGCATAGTTGGTGGTATTCTGCATTGCTGTATAATCATTATACAGCAATGCAGAATACCACCAACTATGCAGGACTACAAATCCCAGCAATACATTATATTAGTAAGTTGGGACGCACCAGTGCCAATACTGTTTTTTTTCACATGTACTTGTGAAAATGCCCCATACTAAGCGCAGGCAAAATTATCAGGGTCACAGCGGTCGCATTTGCGACCGGCCCCTGGTGTTCGGCCAGTTGGGGGGAGCCCAGGGAGAAAGAAGAGGGCCCGCCACTTGCAGACCGCAGTTCAGACAGAGGGATGGGGAAGACGATAGCCAGTCAGGGAACTCCATTTGCATGCACTATTTTTTCTGACCGCAACGGAACGCAGGCATTGATTTGCCATGCGTTCCGGTGCAGGCGATCGCACCGCGGTGCCATTAACTATAATGCCCGCCACGCCCCCTCCCACCCCAGAACGCAGTGAGCTGGCTGGGTTGCAATCCAGTGTGTTCCAGCACTAAATCGGCCGGAACACACTGGAGCTGATGTGAACTAGCCCTGGAAGTTTAAAAAAAACATACTTTTTATTAAAAAAAGGTATCAAAATCATGTTTTTATTGGGGGGGCCTTAATGGTTTCTTGCACCAGGGCCCTGGGGTTTCTAGTTACGCCTCTGTGAGGATATGTTTCAATGCGGCATCAGCCAGGGGCGTACCTACCCCCAAACCAGTGAGGCAGTCAGCAACAACAGCCGAAAGAGTGCCTGACTGCTGCACTGGTTTTTCAAGGCTGCGTTCCACGTATATATTGTGTGTGTGTACAGTGTGTGTACACACACACACACACACACACACACACACACACACACACTAGATCCCAGCACACGTGTATTTATAATAGATTTCTGCACACTGGTATATATAGGAGATCCCCACACACACACTATATACATATGTATACGTATATAGTGTGTGTGTGCAGGATTATATGTACATGTGTGCAGGATCTATTATATATGTAGGGATGCACCGATACCAATTAGTTGGGGGGG